TCATAGGGTCGCTATGAGTTGTACTTGACTTGAAGGTAATCAACAAGAACAACAAATCATACAGAAAGAGATAATCCATTCTTCTCCCACCAAGCTGCTGGTAATATTCAGAGTGACATCCACTTCCTAAACAGCATGACTCTGGAAACTCTATGAACTTTGATAAATCTCAATAGTTCTAGAAAGGCTTCAGGGCATTTGTTCATAGGGTCACTATGAGTCCATGCTTGACTCAATGGAAACCAACAACAATAATATTACACACTTAAAGTGAGATATAAAAGGCATGATGATGGGTTTGCAATGATTCACAGATGATATTAATTTTTCAGAAGATCAATTAGAAGGAACGTTATGATGGAGGGCCACAAGCTTAGACAGGCACTATCCAGTCCACACCATCTGTCCAAATTCAGCGAGACCTGACTTTCCCATCACAGGGCGAGGATGCTCTCATGAGTTATCAGGGAAATGTCATTATGCTGCTTGAGCCTCTCATTACTTATTCTGAGCATGGAAGGAAGCAGTTCCGAAGGCCCATGAGGGTATGTTTTGGATGAAGGGGACAGTATTGCCATGTGCGGGGTCTGCATTTCAAGCCCAGGTAGAAGTAAAAAGGAATTTCACAGCATAGCTTCCTCTCCCTCCACTCACCATCAGCATATGGCACATATAAACTGAAATTAAAACTAGCTAGGAATTTCACCTTGAATGCAGCTTCTTCCAAATTACGCAGGAAAGACTGAATGCAAGCACTAGCCCAGAATATACTGCTGTTGCTTCTAGGTGATGGCAGTTGAGCTCTTCATATACAACAGAAGGAAACTCTGCCCATTTGGCCCCTGTGCTGTCTGCACAATCTGTGCTCTGCCCATGCACATGGCGGCAAGCACTGTGTCAGTACATCTCATCGAGGGTATTCCTCGTTCTCTAACCTTTTACTTTTCCAAACATAATATTCTTCTCCAGGGACCAGCCTCTTCTGCTATAACATGTGTCTGAAGTATGTGAGTAGTATATGTACTACTTTTAGAAAGAAAAAATATATATAAATATATTTTCCTCCCTTGAGGAGACTAGAAAGATAGGAATAGTTTCCCCATTAACTCAGAACTTAACTAGCTATTAAAAAAAAAAAAATCATAGGAGCATTTTAAAATCCGTTCAAAGAAGGATGCTTTGTTGTATTCAGCTAGTCTGAACCTCTTAAAGCACTATCCTTGGCAATATTCAACTTTTTTTAAAATCTTATTATTTTTGTGTGTGTGTACCGTCAAATCAGATCTGACTGGTACAGGAGGAGACTGTCCCTCCTTCCCAGGCAGGGCATCTGGTGGATTCGAACCGCACGCCTCTGGGATTGTAGTTGCAGCTCCTTGCCACTAGGCCACAAGAGCTCCCCTGGCAATATTCAACTTTATACTATTACTTTCTGAACAAAGTATTATCACTCCAAGTGTATGCTAATAAGAAATCAGAGTAATGGACACAGTGTATGCAACAGAGCTCTTATCATTGGGGATGAGGGAGAAATTATAGCCCCAATATACAAGAAAGCCCGTGGGTGGAAGCACTGTGTGGTTCTCTTTCCACGGCACTGGAATCTAATAGCACAAGAGCTTCAGTCCCATTGCTGCAGTAAATGTGGGTGGAGGGACTGGAATTCTGTGGAGGCACAGAATTCAGTGTTATGCTACCTAGGAAGCAGTGGTGGTATAGTCTGCAGAGAGCTGTATTGTAAAACAAAGGTTGCATTTCTTTGGCTGTTCAAATTCACCAGGGCTGTTCAAATCTCCACCAATGGAGATTTTCCTCTCATGACGTTTATAATTTCAGAAACCCTGGGGGAAGTTCAGCTCTGAGGAAGGGCTGATTCCACAGTTTTGGTTTTTGTTTTACCTCACAGTGGGGACTTGTACTACTAATCCAAATGCTACACTTCTGGTGATTCAAATCCACCAGCAATTCCTTGGGAGAGAAGATGCACAAATGTGATATCGCCTGGGAAACCCAGTGGAAGATCAGCTATGAGCGGGTTCCGACTCGATAGTAAGTTTGAGTTTCAGTATGTTCTCTAAAGATAACTAGAACTGGAGAAGACCAATGAAGTCAAGAACACTTAAAATGGATGTAAAAAAACCATAGTGGATAATAACAAAAAGCTTGGTTGAGGCCTTTTCTTGAAAGAAAAAATAAGAAGTTGTGAAAATAAATTTATATGGCATTTGGAAATAAAGTTTATAACTGAAGGTTTCAGCTGAACAGTGGTTGAGCATTTGGCTGCTAACTAAAACATTGGCAGTTCGAATCCACCAGCTGTTCAAATAATGAATAGTTGGATAAAAAGACTTTGTTTTTAAGCTATTTAGGTTAAGTTAATGGTTTTAGCATCAGTATCTCTTAAATGATAATCCATTTGTGTTCTTAAAACTTTGTGCAAGATACTGTAAGCTCATAAGCATAAACAGGAGACACTGCATGGTTCAAAATCGAGAAGGGTATATACCAGGATGTGTCCTGTCTCCATACCTTTTCAATCTGTATGCAGAACAGATCATCCAGGATGCTGGGCTGTATGAGGAGGATGTGGCATCAGGACTGGGAAAGAGTCATCAACAACCTGCATTATGCAGATGACACATCCCTGCTTGCTGAAACTGAGGAGGACCTGAAGAAGGTCAAGGACTGCAGATTCCTATATGGATTGAAACTCAACATCAAGAAAACAAAGATTCTCACCACTGGGCCAATTGGCAGCATCAGTATGGATGGTGAAGAAATTGAGATTGTTAATAGTTTTAGTTTGCTTGGTTCCACAGTCAACACTCTTGATACCAGCAGACAGGAAATCAAGAGATGAATTGCATTGGGAAAATCAACTGTCAGGTACCTCTCCAGAGTATTGAAGAGCAACAATATCAGGCTGGAGACTAAAGTGCACCTGATCCAGGCCATAGTCTTCCCAACTGCGTGCTACGCATCAGAGAGCTGGACAGTGAAGAGAGACTATAGAAAGACAATTGGTGCCTTTGAGCTGTGGTGCTGGAGAGAGTGTTGAATATACCAGGGACTGCTAGGAGGACAAACAGGTTTGTCCTGGAGAGGGTGAAACCAGGCTGTTCTTTGAGGGCAAGGATTCTGAAGCTTTGTCTGACATACTCCGGGCATGTTGCAAGAAGAGACAAGTCCTTGGAGAGGGACACCATGTTTGGGATGGTGGAGGGACAGCACAACAGAAGAAGACCCTAGATGAGATACATTGATTCAGTGATTGTGGTAATGGGAGTAGGTGTGTCAGAGACAGTGAGGTTGGCACAGGATAGAACAGAGTTTAGGGCTCTTGTACATAGGGTAACTATGAGTCACAAGTGACTCGATGGTACATAACAACAACAACAACATATTCCCATTACAAATAATGTGGTAATTTTAAAGTTGTGCACTTTAAAAAATTTATTTGTGTGTATATACACACACATACACATCTATCGATCGATCGATCGACCATTATTAAGTTCTGTCAAGTTGACTCTATAACAAATTGTGACTAACAGTGCAACAGAGTAAAACACTGCCCTGGCCTGCTGGAACACTCACTTCTAAGTTTGAGACTTCTATTGCAGATACTGTATCAAGAAAGGGTTGTCTTTTTTTTTTTCTAACCTTCTCTAGTTTATCCAACCTTATATCCTTCTCCATACACTATTATATCCTGACAACATATCCACCATAGTTTGTGAGAAAAGCTCTACTGTCTTTGTTTCTAAGGAGTATGCTTACTGTACTTCTTTTAAGACAAAGGATTTGTTTTCTTTTCTGGCAACACATTCAATATTCTTTGTCAATAGCATAATTTAAGTGTGTCTAACTTCTAAAGTCTTTCCAAGTTCACAGTTTCGCCTTCATATGCATAACAAGTGATTAAAAATGCTATAGTTGGAGTCGGGTGCACCTTAGGCTTTAAAGTCCCAGCTGTATTTTGAGTGCTTTCTAAATAAACAGAAGGGCCCACTTTCAGCACCACATCAGATTATATTCGGCTACTATTAGTGTTCTGCTTTCATTTTAAAACTACTTATTGTGATCGGGTGAAAATTTACAAAGCAAATTTGCTTTACATTCAACAATTCATAGTTATTTCGTTTTGTAACATTATGGCCAATTTTTTTCAGAAGCAGATCATTAGGTGCTCTTTTGTTCTAGAAGCACCAATAAAACCTGTCCACATTAGGTGACTCAACTGGAGTTTAAAATACCAACAAGTATTGCTTCCAGTATCGTAGCAAACATGCCAGCCATGACAGTATGGACAGACTGATAAAGATGTGGGTGTGTATGTTTGTGTATGCATTGTGTGGACCTCTCTCAGAAACAAATAAGGAAGTCTTACTTAGTAAAAAGGAACTGAATAGTTCCTTTCCTTTTTCAAGTTGACAAAGTACTAACAGATGCTGAACCTCTAAAATGATTTCCTTATTTGTAAACATCCTCATTTACTCAGTAAGCTAACAAATGATGGGGAATACTTATGAGTGAGAGAGTTCTGGTGGCATAGTGGTAAGAAGCTATGCTAGAATCCCAAAGGAATGTGGTTCAAATCCACCAGCGGCTCCACCTGAGAAGAATGAGCAGTCTCCTAGTGTGAAATTAGCTGCCTCTGAAAATCCTCTGGAGGGTCAGCTATGGGTCCATTCCAATTCAAAGGCACACAGCAACAATGTAAGTTACCATTATAAAAGAGTATAAAACTCTGATATAGTTATATCCTTTAAATATATGTATCTGTAGATATGAGTCACAGTTTCATGAATAGACTAAAAAGGAAGAAAATCATTACTTCTAACATGATGTATTACAATGGTGATACAGATGAGTTTAACGATTTGAATCATCATATACTTATCCTTCACTAGAGGATATTTGACCTGAGCAAGTACCTGAGGCAAAGAATATGATCTGCAAGTTACTATAACAAACATTTCTTTGTAACAGAATCATACCTGAGATTGAGCGTTGACATTGGCTCCATTTGTAACCAAGACCTTTACTACTTCTGCTTGTCCTGCCAATGATGCTATGTGTAACGCGGTGTTTCCTTTCTGTGAAATGAAATGCAAGAGACAGAAACTCATTCGTATTTTTTTCCTGTTTCAATAATCCACAAAATATCATATCACTCTAAATTTAAATCTATGGAGTATGGTTTTATATTAACACATGGGGTTACCATGAGTCAAAATTAATTCAATGGCAACCATTGTCACCGAACACTATGAGGGTTGATCCTTACTGAATGTGGCTGGCAAGTAGCATATTAAAAACAGTTTAAAATGTGATACTGACCTTTGTAGCTGCATCCACATTGGCCTCTCTCTGTAGTAATTCAGAAACAACTTCTACATGGCCTTCTTTGGAAGCAAGGTGAAGAGCATTAAGCCCATTCTGCATAAAAGGGAAGGGAAAGCTTGACTTAGAAAAAATGATAAAGCAATTAAGTGAATCGTCTGCTAAGAACTCTGAGATAATAACACATTAGCAACTGTTTGCAGGAACTTGAATTAGGAACAAAAGTACTTGAGCATTTGGTTGATTGCCATGAGATCATTACTTATTAAATTTTCAGAATTAACTAGAAAAAAAAGACCTATACCTACATTTTAAATTATTCTTCTAGTTAGGCAGAGAATAATTTGATAACATCATGGTGGTAATATTGAAAAGAAAAAAATATTGGTAATAAAGGAGAAATACTGGTAATATTTAATAAAACTGTGAAGAGTTTGAAGTCTGGGTGTAATTGTTGTTTTGTTTTTGTTGGTTTGTTTTTTTGTTTGTTTGTTTGTTTTTAATCAAGAGACAAATTGCGTAACAGTAACACCATTAACTAACCTGGTTGCAAATGTTGATGTCGACTCCATTTTTTATGTAGTCAAGGGCCTTCTCCAAGTGCCCTGCTCGGGCTGCTCTCAAGTAACTTGCGTTGGCATCAGACTAAAATAGAGAAGAAAAATATCTTAATGGGAAATGCAGTTTTAATATCGCTCAGCTTCAAGTCCAAATTAAAAGTGAGAACTTTCAGTTGAATTATTCTTTCGAACATCAAAGTGAACAAAAGGTCTTTGCAAAGTTACCAGGGAAAGGACATATTCTTTACAAACTGGCTACACGTGAACAAAACTACTTCTTCTGGCAAGTCATAACTGATTCTGAACTACGTACAAGAAGAAAAAAAAGATCCCCAAAAGTCAGGCATCTTACATCAGCATGCAATTTCTAAATTTTCTTACATTAGAAATATAATGTCTATGATCTACTAATCTCTATCTAGCTACCAATAAATGTTTTCACTAACAACTCAACAAATATTTTTTTATGTTGTCACATTAGTTTTTTTGAAATTGGTAGCCAATGATCTGTGATGTTTTCTTACAGAGCTTAGCAGGTGTCAAAACACACACTGTATTTGGGAAGCACCTATAAATGTCCAAATGGACTGTGAAATGTACTTCCTATTAACTTCCAAGCTGGCAAAGGCAATAATCTAATTGACAAGGGTTTTTAGCAAAAACAAAGAAGTACATACAAATATACAAAAAGCAAAATATAATCTAGAATTTACTTGCTGCAAGGTTACAACTGTCACCTCTAACACCTACAATGACACAGTTAAAATCTTCAGCTGTTGAAATCTTTAACAGAAAGTAGATGGTGAAAGAAAAAAAATCCTGAGTTTGTCTACATGACTTGTAAAAGAGTCTTCTTGCTCAGGGTAGTGTAACAGACACAGGTCTTTCAAGAAAGAGCAGCCCAACACATTTCACCACCCTGCTCACAAACACAGTTATGCTAGAGGGTGACACAAAATGGGAAATCTTTCAGCCATATTTTGTTGTTTGGTGTCATCCATTCATCCACCTATAAACAATAGCGTCCCTATAAACAACAGCTCTGAACCTAGCTCACCGGCACCACCCTCACGATCTCTGATGTTCTCAAGCCCATTGTTACAGTCACTGTATCAACCTATCTTGCTGAAGGTCTTCCTTTCTTTTGCTGAGCTTCCACCTTTCCCAGCATGATGTTTTTTTCAAAATACTGATCCTCCTGACCAAAGCGTGTGAGACAGAGTCTCAGCATCCTTGCCTCTAGAAAGCACCCTGGTTGCACTTCCTCCAAGACAGACTGATTTCTGATTTGGCGGTCAACAAGATATTGAGAACTCCAAATACCTTTCTCAAAGCACCTGTACAAATACTACCTCACTTGTAAAGCCTTCCCAGAGTCCTGAGTGGATGTAATTATTCACTGCTCTCGAAACACTCACTTCATTCTTGGTATAAATCACATAATATCGTAGTTTTTGGTACACCTCGCTTTCCTCCCTCCTTTAGAAAAGGTACAGTGACAAGATTAAGTGACAAGCAATTGTGGGAGCCATCCAGATACCACTCTAGAAACTACTAATTCATCCTCTGGAAATGTAATGACTGAAATGAAGGCAATTCCATCCTTGAGAAGTTTCCTCGGTTGTGGTGTATGTCTTTTCACGAGAGCTGACTTACTGAAGTCTCTGTGGCAAGACCACTCTCTCAACGGCTTCTTTAAACTGTCTCACTCGTCACAATCCTCCATTTGGATGGATTCTGTTGTTGTTATGTTAGGTGTCAAGTCAGAACTGACACTCCGCTGACCCTTCAGTGGGTCCCAGAGGCTATAAACTACATGAGAGGAGATTGCTTATATTTCTTCTGAGGAGCAGCTAGAAGATTCCGACTCCATGAATTTGAGTCAGCAGTGCAACTCCTTACCCACTATGCCACCCAGGCTTTCCCCTTTAAATCCCAATTTATCAATTTCAGCTGTATTCACACTTGGGTCACACCAAATTTTGTCTAACCAAAGTTGTCCAGTGTATGTTATGATGTTTGGGGGCATATCTGGCCTATACACAGATGTCAGTCGTGCTCCCTCATTTATGACAGCCAGTTATCTCCTGGGGTGGGTACAAATTCACCCCAGGTGAGAATCACAGTTTCAAAAAATAGCCACCGATTTTAGTCAAAGATTGCAGACTTAAGAATCTTCTGTCTTTAGCCTGTTTTGTGATCACATGCCTTAGCCTGACATGATCTACATATTGTTGTTGTTGTTATATGCTGTTGAATCACCTACAACTCATAGTGACCCTATGTCCAGAAGCTATGAAGCCTGCACTGTCCTGAGCCAGTCTCACTGACTCTGACACACCTAACTCATTGCCCTAGTTACATAATATCCACTTTTCCATTTCCTCTGTGACTGGAAGGGTCCCAGGAACATAACAAGTGTTTTAGAGATGTGATGTGAATCAATTAATCAATTTTTAAAATGCGTGGAAATTCTGTATCAATTAAAATGTGGCTGGGAACAATGCAGGAGACTCTATTAACAATAATATAAACAATAGAGTAGTTCTGTAAGCTGAGAATGGTCTATGATAAAAAGAAGACTACTAGAGATCATAAACTAGCAGCCGAATAAAATATCTGGGAACACAAAGAGATATTAAAACGAAGAAATAAAACTGGTGTTTGAGGGATACATAGGAGACGAGCGCTCAAATCCAACAGAGACTCAATCAGATACAATTTCCAGGAATTTAAAGAGAAAAATACAGACTTTAAAAAAGATTCATTGAATGGAATCCCAAAATCTCTGTAGATGTTCATTGAAATGAAAAATAAACAACCTAAATTAAAAAAAAAAGAAGTAGATCACAAAAAAAAAAAAAAAAAGATTCATGCCCATCAACAAATGAATGGATAGAGAAGCTGTGGTATATTCACACAATGGAATACTATGCTGCATTGAAAAACAAGGAACTCATTCAGTATTATTCAAAATGGGTGAGCCTGGAGGACATTATGCTGAGTGAAATATCTCAGTCGCAAAAGGATAAATATTGCATGGTGCCAGTGCTGTAAAATGGGACTGATATCAGGGTCGGGGTAAGACTGAGAAAAACTGGATAAATTGTGTATACTGCACTGAAACAGATGAGGGACTGAATAATTTAAAAGTGATGTATGATAGGGTATTACGGTTATCACAAGAGTCCACAATTAAGGTTGCATAGTGGAATGTACTTGGGGCGGTGGGAGGGGTGCGGGGAGATTGTGTACCAGGGAGGGAGTCTTTCTTATACTTTTGAAAGAGAGGAGCGAACTGGGGGGCGGGGGAAGAGGGCTGGGTGGGTAGAGAAGTGCGGCAATGAATGAATGGAAATCCAAATTCTCTGTAAATGTTCATTAAAATTAATTTTTTAAAAAAAGATCCATGGCTTTTAGAAGGTTAGGGTTTGTTTTTTGTTTGTTTGTTTGTTTGTTTTATTCCCCTCCTCATGAGCTCAGTTAGAACTAAATTAGCTATGTAAGGATGGCTCACTGTACCAAAAAAATCCCCATCTTTGTGCTTGCTCAATGATTTATCAGAGAATCTGCCCAGAAGGGCTCTGATGTTGTTCTGGGAACAAACGACATCAGTATGCTTGGATATTTCAACTGCCAGAGATAACAACTGGGGTGAAGCATTGCAAACTGTGACTTGGGGTGCATAAGAACAGCAGCCAAATAATTTCTAAAAGAAAAATAACAATTTATGAAGAGCCCTTGAGTTGATTCTAGATCTGGAAATGCACGCTTCTGTCCATTGTTCCTTTTCCTCTTAAGATTTTTATAATATTCCCACCCAAAACGCTAAAGCATTGCAACATAACAGTCTACAAAAGGAATCTTCTCTGTGTTTCTCTACTTGGAATCTTTGGATTCTTTTGAGACTAAGAAATGGATCCTCTTCCCTCAATCATTGCATCTAAGTGCACAAACACGTACCACATCTGCATATGTATGAAAATCGGCATTTGCATACATCATTTGTACACATTTTACCTCACTCAGGAGACCTAACTCGACTTGTGGATGATTGTACTAGCAAACTCCGGTTTGAATGAGAAAAAATTCTCTAGTGAACACCTTCACTGCATCTATTCATTCAGCGGCCACAGTATCAAAGAATTCCTCACCTGAGGAATTAGAAATGAAATAGGAATTAGAGAGAAAAGGAGATGACCTTTTCTTTTCCCACTGATGTCAAGCTGTTGTTACAGACTCACTCAATCAGAACATTAACAAGCAGCTACTTTACATTTCAAAGAGAAAAGGTAGGAATGAGGAAAAGATGCCGGTTTCTAAGGAACTTTGCCCCTTAGAAAGGGAAGAGCAAATATCCCACTGTGCCCTCAATTACCTGCAATCAATACAGTCACATTTTCCTTAACAAGCATTTGTGAATACTCAGTCATTGGGGCAACAACAGCTGGTTATCAAGTGGTGAGCAAAAGAGATACGGATGTGGTACAGATGATGATTCCCTTACAATCATCTCCAACATGCTTCCAACTGACCTTAAAAGCAGAGTAAACAATTGGATTCTTAACTACTATTTATCCCCCCCCAATTCTGTGTAAGGTTATTAGTTATGGTAATTAGTAAACTATTAGTTATGGTTTCATATACTTTGTTAGACTTTGGGTTGCCAACTGAAAAGTCAGCGATTCAAATCCACCAACTACTCCACACCAGAAAGACGGGCACTCTCCTCCCATGACGATCTGGAGTCTCAGAAGTCTGATGAGCATCACGACGAGTCAGAACTGACTCCGAGTCAGTGAGCGCCTGTCTCCACACCGCCTCCTCCAATAATAATTTGGTATCAGGTTGAGGATCAAGACCTTGACTTGAAACTCTTAGCTATCTTTCCATAAAATAAATAAAAATTACTTCTGTTGTCATAGGTCCCATTGAGTTGAGTATAACTCATAATGACCCTGTGAACAACAGATGTAAACTCTGTTCTGTCCTTTGCCGTCCTTACAATCTCTGACCCATCTGAGCCCACTGCTGCCGTCACTGTGTCAACCCACCTGGTTGAGGGTCTTCCTCTCCTTCGCCTTC